CTCAGGAAAGGGTATATATCATGGAACTTTGAAGTGTCAGGCATAGCTCTAATGGCTTTAGCCCAAACGTAGCAGAGTTTTCCTGCACAGCGAGGAAGCTAGTTGAGGTGGAAATGACTAGTCAACTAGACTCAGAATAACTATTTACAGGATTTATTAAAAGGAAAAATAAAACCAGCAGAGTTTCTGCATACAAAACAAAGCAAAATAAATCCTTTCTTTCTCTCTCTCTCTCTCTACCATACACAGCACTTCTACTCCTAACACACCTAACACACCTAACACCAAACTGTGCTAGCATTTCTAGATAACAGAGTTGAGTGCTGGTCGTTAACCAATCAGAGTAAGTAGTTTCTAGGTAAGCAGACCTTGGCTTTCTGCCAAGAGTAAATTGACACTGCCTTGAGTTAATTGTGTGACGCCAGAATCTGCAAGTTCCCATGAGAATCAATTAACAGAAACTGAACAATATATTCCTGGTGCCCTTAATCCTGCTGTTCCGCCAGGGAAGCGGGGCTGCGTCCATAGCATGGAATGGTGGAAGTACTCAGGGAAGGGAGCAGAAAGCGAGGGAAGCATTAGGCCCCCATTTCTAGGAAGGGGAACATCAGCCTGAAGGGGAGCAGCTGCTTTTGGGCAAGCGGAGCTGGAGAAAAGCTGGGCCTGTCCTGCTGCGCTTCAGGCCCTGACAGCCTCCAAGTCCAAGTGTCAGTTGACTTCGCCCCTCCATTCACCGCGCGAGGAGGCCGTCCCGGAGTTGAGGCTGCCATGGAGGCCAGAAAGAGCAGAGGCCATGTTGGGTCAGGGCAACCGGTCCTTCTATGTTTGGAGCGGGAGGAAGGGCCATCTTGGATTGTGCCTGTCTATTATTGATATGGAAAGGGGGGGATACCTTCCCGCACCCCTCCACCGCCCACCAAAGGATCAGAGGCGATGACCTCGACGGCGCCCAGCTTTGCCCAGGCCCCTAAGCCCCACACCGTGACACAAGCACCACACTATACCCCTGGTCCTTTAAATAAGATGCCTATCTCTTTCTCTATACAGGCGAAATAAGCCCACCATCTTTCTCTAAGCCTCCTTCCCGCTCTATCTCTATCATGGGTTGACCGTATCAAACTGCGCTCCCATCCGTTTCAATGGAAGCCGCGCTCCCATCCGTTTCAATGGCCGCATCCCAGCCAATCAGAACCGTGCATCCGCTCTGCAGAGTCAGCTCAGCGAGCCCCTGCACGCCTCATTTAACCTCTTGACAAGCCGCTGACGGCTCCCCGCTGGGAGAACAATGGAATCGAAACTCGTGGACTCGTAAAAGTGTCAAAACTGGCAACAATGTAACCATTTTATTTCCGACTTCAATCATTGCTATACGAATGGACTAGAACAGGAGAAAACTTCTTAAATTCATATAAAATCAACCACAGCTCCGATTTCCTTGGTTTTGGTGTCAATCGACTCAGTTCCCTCAGGACTCCATGGTGCTACCCCTGCCTCCATAATCCCCGAAGCAGCAGGTCACGTACTCAGGAAGACCCTAATCCTGTCAGATCGTTCTGCCGAGCCCTTCCTCCGGGCAATGCCGGTGGCAGACGATGCATATCTGGACTATTGTTTCTTCATCACCGGTACTCAGGAAGTGTTTATCTTTGCATATCTCTCACTCTGCATACTCCCCCCTCCCTTCCCCGAAATGCTAATCCGTGAAATCCCACCTTTCTGTAATATATTCATGATGTCACCTGTGTAAGCCAACCTATTTCTAATGTATTCATGACGCAATAATGATGTATTTCACACTGTATTCTGGGACATGGAGGGAAGTTTCAAAAAACTCCTGTCACCCCCTACTCAGGGTTCAATCTCGCCTTGAACCTGTTGCGCCATAAACTCGGATCTTCTGTAGTTTGCGCCTGCGTCCGGCTGAGCTCATTTTTCCTCCGCAGGGACCCGCGGACTTGGTCTGACGAGCTGGGTGGCAGAGTAACCCCGCACCCAGATTTTCCGTAACAGTTATATACACATCTATCTATCTATCATCTATCTATCTATCTATCTATCTATCTATCTATCTATCATCTACCTACCTACCTACCTAGAGATATATACACCCCCCTGGTTCTCCTTTGGAGGAGGAGTGAGGACGGAGGCGCTTTACTGGACAGAATGGCACTTCCCTGCCCCTCCTTTCCCTCCCAGGAGCTCCTCCTTCCACAACAACCCTGCAGGCTGGCCTCTGGCATGTGGCCCCTTTCCAGCAGGCGAAGCTGCAGGGGCCACTCACTTCCTGGCCCTCCCAAAATGGAGGCGGCCCTATCGAGACCCCTGGAGTGGGAGCCCGTCAATTAGGAGCCTGGTAGGGGGCAGCGGGCAGCCTGCCTCTCGGCCCCTTCCCAGATCTTGTCCCGGCCCATCCTTTATTACTACGTTTTGAGTGCTCGGTTTACGTTAAAGCTTTCGGCCCCTCCAGGGCTCTGGGCAACCCCGGAACAGTTATTTTCAAATGATCTCCAACCCAAAATGGGAATTGACAGGTAACTGACAGACGGAGATGATCTCTAAGAGATATAGGGAGTCTGCCGGATGCCCCCCTTGGCTGGGCCTGTGATGGACAGCAGAGCCAGGCCAGTCAGCGGACTTCGTCCCCTCAGAAAATCTCCTGGAGCCCTCGCTCTGATTGGCTCCTAAGCCAGCGTGGGGCGGAGCCAGCCCTTTTGGCGGGAAAAGGCAAGGCGCGTTTTCTGAGGGGGGAGCTTGGAGGGGAAGGTGGGGAGGAGAGGAAGAGGAGTCAGGCGGGAGATGAAGGGGAGAAGCTGGGGGGAGGGAAGGGAGGACCCCCAAGAAGGAGGGCTGAGGGGGCCCCCTGGGTGTGGGGGGCAGACTGAGAGGGGGGAGGGAAGGGAGACCCCCAAGAAGGAGGGCTGAGGGACCCCCTGGGTGTGGGGGGCGGACGGAGGGGGGGAGTGGAGGGAGAGCCCAAGAAGGAGGGCTGAGGGGACCCCCTGGGTGTGGGGGGCGGACTGAGAGGGGGAGGGAAGGGAGACCCCCAAGAAGGAGGGCTGAGGGACCCCCTGGGTGTGGGGGGCGGACTGAGGGGGAGAGTGGGGGAGACCCCCAAGAAGGAGGGCTGAGGGGACCCCCTGGTGTGGGGGCGGACTGAGGGGGGGAGTGGAGGGAGACCCCCAAGAAGGAGGGCTGAGGGGACCCCCTGGGTGTGGGGGGCGACTGAGGGGGAGGGAGGGAGACCCCAAGAAGGAGGGCTGAGGGGACCCCCTGGGTGTGGGGGCGGACTGGGGGGGGAGTGGAGGGAGACCCCAAGAAGGAGGGCTGAGGGGACCCCTGGGTGGGGGGCGGACTGAGGGGGGGAGGAGGGAGACCCCCAAGAAGGAGGGCTGAGGGGACCCCCTGGGTGTGGGGGCGAGGGAGACCCCAAGAAGGAGGGCTGAGGGGACCCCCTGGGTGTGGGGGCGGACTGAGAGGGGGAGCGGAGGGAGACCCCCAAGAAGGAGGGCTGAGGGGACCCCCTGGCTGTGGGGGGCGGAGGGAGACCCCCAAGAAGGAGGGCTGAGGGGACCCCCTGGGTGTGGGGGGGCGGACTGAGGGGGGGAGTGGAGGGAGACCCCCAAGAATGAGGGCTGAGGGGACCCCCTGGGTGTGGGGGGCGGACTGAGAGGGGGAGCGGAGGGAGACCCCAAGAAGGAGGGCTGAGGGGACCCCCCTGGGTGTGGGGGGGGAGCGGAGGGAGACCCCCAAGAAGGAGGGCTGAGGGGGCCCCCTGGGTGTGGGGGGCGGACTGAGAGGGGGAGCAGAGTGAGACCCCCAAGAGGAGGGCTGAGGGACCCCTGGGTGTGGGGGGCGGAGGGAGACCCCCAAGAAGGAGGGCTGAGGGGACCCCTTGGGTGTGGGGGGGCGGAGGGAAAGGGCCCCCAAGTCTGACTCCAGAGCCTGGAAGAAGCCAAGCCTCCAAGTCCAGGGGAAGGAGGCGCCTGTCTCCGGACCCCAGCTTGGCCCCCCAATTCAGTGGGGCTGCCCCCGGGAAGATGGGGGCTGGAGGGCTTCCTCTTCCTCCCTGGCGCCTGCTCTCGAGGAGGGCTGCTTGGAGCAGGCGGAGACTCCTGGGGAAGCCCCCGTCTCCCTGGCGCGGAGTCGGGCTCCGAGGGGGCTCCGTGGGGCAGAGGGGAGAGGGAGGGCTGGGCTGGCAAGGGTTAAGAGGAGCGGAGCTGGAGTCCTAGAGAGGACGGGGAAGGGGAGGGGAGGGGGCAAGGTCCTCCATGGCTAAATTCCCCCCCTCCCCCTCCCTCCCTGCTTTCTTCTCTCTCCTTTGCAAAAGCCCCTCCTGGACTCGGGTGAGTCTCCTCTCTCTCCTCCCCTGAGGGTGCAATGGGGAGAAGGGGGTCCCAGGGGGGCAGGGAGGGGCATGGGGGTCCCTGTTCAGGTCATGCCGGGGCGAGTCCCCCAAGTCAGGGAGCAGAGGGTCCTCCCTTGTCCTCTCTGCCAAGCCAGGGAGGGGGGCGAGTTTGCAAGAAATATGCAGCTCTGCTCTTCCTTGGGATCCAGATGCTGCCTTCCTTTTTGGGGGAGGGGGCTTTGGGTCAAGGAAATAAACCCCCCTTCAGAGGGAGGGAAAAGTCACCTTTGGGAACAGAGGCTGCAGCCAGAGGGGAACATTCCCACGTGGGGGGAGCACAGGGAGGAGAAAAGCCCGTCTGCATCTGCAGCACCACTTCCTGTGTCCCAGATGCAACAACACATGTCTCTCCCCCATCATTTAAATACACAACAAAATTGCTCCATTAAGATACTGAAATAAGCATGAAGGAAAAGAATAATGTTAAAACAATGCAGCTATTAAGAGGCAGAAAAGAACAGAGCAATGTGTAGAAAAATATCATCTTTCTTCTCCCTTTTTCTCTTAGGGTCCAGTGTGCTTTGAAGACTAGCTGTTCCTTTCACAGATGAGGACTGGGCTTTGCTGGATCCTGACCAGAGAGCTCTGCAGAAGGAAGTCAAGGAGGAGAATCCTGGGATCGTGGCCTCTCTGGTAAGGCTCCCTGCTGGATCATAAGATCAGTTTTGAAATTCCATACGGATCTTTGTCGGACAAACCTCCTCTCTTTTGAGGGAGCCCCATAGCGCCACCTGCAGCATCTGAGATGTTAACACACCCACAACTCTCCATAGGAGATGCATCTCCTGTTCTGTCTGGGAATATTCTTCCACCAGTCCTGCCTTTTCCAACCAGGATGAGGCTGCTCTGAGCTGCCCAGGCCTTCTTCAGTGTAGGCTTCAGAGATCTCAAGGATGTGGAGGTACATCCTGTCTAATTCTCTTTTTCCCTTTCTCCATCTCTCTGTTTTTGGTTGAGCAAAGAAATGACTGAGCTTGGAGATGGAGCGGATTCCACGACTGAGCCAAATTAAATCCATCCCTGGATAGAGCCAGGCTTTTCGAATCCATAAATACGTTAGATAATACCAGCCAAAAAAGGCAGTAACTCCCTTCCCTTCTTCCTCTTTCACAAGCAGTCATTTGCATTGTTCAGTCATTTCAGGCTCAGTTTCTTCCTCAGGCTATTATTATTATTATTATTATTATTATTATTATTAAAGATATCAGGAAACTTGATGAGGAATTAAGGGGAAAGACAGTGTTGACCCAGAGTAGTTACAAAATTTATGTTCTCTCCCCGAGTGCCACAGACCCTCCTTCAATGAGAGCTTCTCTAAGAAAACACAAGCAAAAATTACTCAATTTTACGTGAATAAGGAAAATGAGGAGGTGGCTAAGAAACAGCGGGAGCCAGATCCTATTACTGACCTTATAGGATCTCTCAGCAGCTCTAAGGATGAGCAGAAAGAGGTTTGGGGCCCAGGCAGCTCAACTGCTAAGTCATCTCTGGCACTGAGACCAGGAGCTCAAGCGACTCAAGGCCAAATCCAGGCTAAACAAGTAGAGGAACTAATCTGAAAGAAAAATTCAAAATTAAAGCAAGTATAAAAGACTGCTACTCCCAAACCTCTGGGACAAAAGAGGGATTATCAGTCTTTGGTGGCTTGTAGTACTAAGAGAGGACATGAAACACTTAAAATCCTTTTTGGCTGACTGTAATAAAATTCTTGGTGGGGGGGCGCGGGTGGCGCTGTGGGTTAAAGCCTCAGTGCCTAGGACTTGCCGATCGAAAGGTCGGCGGTTCGAATCCCCACGGCGGGGTGCGCTCCCGTCGTTCGGTCCCAGCGCCTGCGAACCTAGCAGTTCGAAAGCACCTTCGGGTGCAAGTAGATAAATAGGGACCACTTGCCAGCGGGAAGGTAAAACGGCGTCCTGTGTGCTGCGCTGGCTCGCCAGAACAGCTTCGTCACGCTGGCCACGTGACCCGGAAGTGTCTCCGGACAGCGCTGGCTCCCGGCCTATAGAGTGAGATGAGCGCACAACCCTAGAGTCTGGCAAGACTGGACCCTACGGGCAGGGGCACCTTTACCTTTACCTTTAATAAAATTCTTACCATCCTGATAGGTACTTGTAAAACCTTCTGGAAAAAATCTGGCAGAGTCTGTGGAACCAGATAATACAACAATATCTCTTTCCCTACCATTAAAAATAGATCAATAAGGGAGGTTTGATTCGTCCACATGGCAAAAGGAGGTCTAAAAGTACAAAGAAGGGCAAAAATGTTAAAAATTTAAAAAATAGTGCAATATTAAAAAGTTGACTTTAAAAAACTTTTTAACCTGCTTGAGAGTAGCTCTTGCTCTGGGTCCAGACAGAACACGAAGAAGCTTGTACTATGCTAGAATCTGCACACCAGATCCCTATATCAATATGAAACTATATGCAAGGTTATCAAATGGTCTGATGTCCTCTTAAAAGCGAAAACCAAACTAACTAGGGAGAGGGTTTTCATAAAAAGGAATTGGAAATGGGTGCTGTCTCAAAATAAGCTACTTCTCTCAAGCTACCCTAATCCTTTGGAAATCTTGTCACAAGAGGAGCGTAAAGTTTGTGAAGATGGTGTATAAGCACAGAGAATATCTAAGGAGGAGTGGTGTATCAGTCTCAAGATTATTCCGAAATGTGGCATCACCAGCTCCTCTGCTTCCACATTCAGCAACACCTCCAAAAAGTCCTCAATCCAAGGCAGACTATTATCCTTTAGTTGACATATACTCTGGAGGTGACAATCCTGACTAGTCAGCTGACCTGGACCCCAAGGAACCCCCTAACTGAAAGACCCTTGGGTGCTTGCACTTGAGAAATCTAGGGAAGGACCTACTTGACAGAACTGAAAAGAATGGATTACATGCCTTTTGTGCTCTGCCACAAGACGCCCAGAATGAAATATTCTCCAGATTTGACCTCTGACGTTCCTGCCTAATGAGTTTGAAGAAGGAACACAAGGGCTCATGCAAGTAGAACTTGACCCTTTGTGCTCCAGATCCAGCCCACCAGATATTCCAGCATGAGTTGAACTGATGGGCTGAAAAGCCACCTCCCCCCACCAGCAGGTTAATGAACCCTCTTTCCTACCAATTGGAGATGAAGAGCTTCCCCAAAGATTTGGTCCCCATGCAAGAGGCAAATATGGCCACAACACCTGCCTGGCTTGCAATGAGAGAGCTCAAAGATTGCGAACTGGGCTCTGCATACAAAGAACCCAGCATGCAGGCACCTACAGCACATGTACCGTGGTACCTCGGGTTCCATACGCTTCAGGTTCCATACGCTTCAGGTTAAAGACTCCGCGAACCCAGAAATAGTGCTTCAGGTTAAGAACTTTGCTTCAGGGTGAGAACAGAAATTGTGCTCCAGCGGCACAGTGGCAGCAGGAGGCCCCATTAGCTAAAGTGGTGCTTCAGGTTAAGAACAGCTTCAGGTTAAGTACGGACCTCTGGAACGAATTAAGTACTTAACCTGAGGTACCACTGTAATAGCTACTCTGCTATTTCCTGCCCATGCTCTGGGGTTGCAGTTTTCAGGCTTAGGGACAGGGTGGTGACTGTTTTTTGCACCAAGTTCTGTCCATAAGCCCCAATGAATTCAAGGGGTTCTACCTTGAGGTCATTACTGTGCAGACCCTGCCAGCCTTACGAAGTGGGGTGAGGAGCAAACAGAGGAAATTGAAACCACTGGAGAGGTTTAGAAATGGGGCTTCTGTTGGGAAGGGGCTGCCCCATTTGTGCTTCTCCAGGGGCAGGATAATATCTAGGGCAGGAGAATCCCTGCAGGGCCTCTGAGGCTCCCTTTCCTTCTTCCTCTCTCCCAGGACTCTGCAGCTTCTTTTGGCTCCTTGACTCCTCAGGAAGGATGAAAGAGACGGATCCTGCAAAGCTAGCAAGGATGGAAGGGGGAAGATGGATGGTTGACCTGGTCAGGTTGTCTCCTGCATCCCTCGCTACAACCTCTGAGCGTTCCCTCCCAGGGACCTCTGAGAGATCTGGTGAGTCTCAGGGGAGTGGAGATGGGGACAAGGATAGATTCAGTCAGAGAGGAATTGGGGCTTGCTCAGCTAGGGGGTGGGGGGAGGCAGGCAGGTGGATGGAGATGGAGAAGGGGAGCACCTTTTCGGGCTCCCCCACCTGCCTGCCTGCCTGCCTGCTCCTTTGTCATCTGCGGGCAATTTCAGCTAGGAATAGATCACAGCTCCCCGGCCAACGTGATGTATCGGCAGCTCAAAATGTCTAAAACCAGTTCTGTGATCTGAATGCCCTACCAGTCTCTGACAACTCACTGATCCATCGCGCAGCACTGGACTCCTTAAAGGAACCTGATCCTGCTGTGCAGTGTGAACTCAGATGGGGCCTCCGTGTGTTGCCTTTTTCTCTTCTTTTTGTATAACTTTTATTAACTTTATAAAGCAAGGGAAGATAGGAATAATGGATGATACAAATATGTAGGCTGAGTCTGTATATCTCAAACATAGCAGAATAAATTTGCATAAGTATCTATAACATATAGTTCATCATTAGTGGACAGTGTATGAGTCCTGGGTCCATGAATTGCTTTCAACTGAAACAAAAAAAGGGGAAACAGGAGAGCACAGAGAACATTCAACATCGCAGAGCCAAATGCCTAGACTGGAGCTCTTGTGGCCGTTGTGCTTAGATTAAGTGAGTAATAGTCATTATTCCTCTTCTGTCACCAATGAAACAATACAGAGTTGGTCTTATCATGAAAATGGGAGGGGGGCTCAAAGTGAAGAAAGAGATTTACGTATAAATTTAAATATTTTCCTGTTTTAATTTTTTTAATTATTATTATTTTTATTGGTTTTCACATATTACTTTACAATACAGATGTACCAAAGCCAACACCATTTCCTTCCCATCCCCCCATACATTTACATTTCTATTTCCTCAATCCAGCATATTATCCTTTTCTCCCTCCTCCCTCTTCCCTCCGCCCCCACTCGATTTCCTCCACATTATACAATTTACAATAATCTTTGCATTCTACAACCTTCTCGAATCATCTTCATATTCTTATTATCTTTCCTTACTAATTTTTCTTCCATCCAGTACTTCACATTTCAATCTAGGCATATTAGCGTATCTTTCCTTGAGCAATATTTTGCCATATATTCATCAAAACATTTCCACTTGGTTGTCAAGTCTCTGCTTAAAGACCTCCAAAGAAGGAGACTCCACCACACTCCTTGGCAGCAAATTGCACTGTCGAACAGCTCTTACTGTCAGGAAGTTCTTCCTAATGTTTAGGTGGAATTTTCTTTCTTGTAGTTTGGATCCATTTCTTCTTATAGCAGTTAATTTAGCCCGAATTAAATACTCATTTAGTTTACAAATCCATTCCTCCTTTGTGGGTATAGTTTGTGACTTCCACCGCATTGCAATCACTATTCCAGCAGCTGCACTTGTGGAATGTAATGGCGTCCGCCACACTTTCCTGTGCCCACTCTCCGTGCCAACTGTGAGCCTTAAGCTGTCTTCCTGGCTCCAAGCCGAGTTTCGCAGCAGCGGACGTGCCTTGGGTGGGTGATAAATCCAAGGCTGTACACAGGCTTCTTGCTCATCTAAGAAGTCTTTAATCATAGTACAGAAAAACATCATAAATCAACACAGAGATCGAGCGGACATCTCCTCGGCTCGACAGCTAAAAACGAAAGTAATTCACACGCAAAGAAAGATTCCCGTATGTGAACAAAACCACGCCTCAGAATGTGAGACGTCACACAGAACTGTTTAACCCTGTAAGTTCTGATTCTCCTCACAGTACTTGCATATAGAAAAATTCTCCCCCCCCCCCCGTGGTATCTCAATCCAAGGAGATATGTCTCTGGTTTCTTTGTTATTGATATTTTCAACATCTTCTTTAGTTCTTCGTGTACTACTATCCAACATTTCATAATTTCCTCACACCTCCACCACATATGTATTGTTGTTCCTATTTCTCCACCACATCTCCAACAGAGGTTGGATTTCAATTTGTATATCTTTGCCAGCTTAACTGGCGTTAAGTACCACCTATAGAACATCTTTACAAAATGTTCTTTAATTGTATATGAGGCAGTAAATCGTATATCCTCTCGCCAGAGTTTCTCCCATTGCTCTAGATAGATAGTATGTCCGAGATCCTGAGACCATTTAATCATTGTTTCTTTAACTTCTTCCTCCATCAATTCCCAGTCCAATAAAAGATTATAGGTTTAGGATAACAATTGTTGTTCTTTATCACTGTGACTTTAAATTTCGAATTTTCTTTTGCAAATCCTTTCTTTTGATCCGAGTTGAATATACTTCTAAGTTGTATATATTGCCATCTGTCAATTAAAATTTGGACCAACCAGATTGAGATAACTTCTGATGGGGAGTGTTCAGGTGAAGATGTTGCTGTTTGTTTCACAGACAAGGGGTGGACGTTGCTGGATCCTGACCAGAGAGCTCAGCATAAAGAGGTCAAGGAGGAGACTCGTGGGATCGTGGACTCTCTTGGTAAGGCTCCCTGTTGGATCATAACATGTTGTGATTGCAGATGGAGTGGATTCCATGATTGAGCCACAAAAATATCCATCCCAGATAAAAGCCAAGCAATATCTCAGTTAATACCAGGCAACTAAGGAAGTGAAACCTATAGGACGGCCTCACATCTCATTCTCTTCAGTTCTTCCTCTGTCACAAGCATTCATTAACATTGTTCAATAATCTGGAGCTCCCATTTCCTCCTGAGACTCTAATTAGCATCTCTCTTTATTGCAGATGGTGATGACTTAGAAGGGAAGAACAAGGGGGAGCACAACAGAATCCACATAGCGGAGAAGTCATATAAATATTCAGAGCGTGGAGAGAACATCCGTCAGAGCTCCCACTCCAACTCCCATCAAAGAAAGAGCTTCATTCGAAGGAATAGCCTCACTTCACACAAAAGAACACAGAGGAGGGAGAAATCGTATCAGTGCTTGGAGTGTGGAAAGAGCTTCAATCGGAAGGATCATCTCACTTCTCATCAAATAATTCATACAGGGGAGAAGCCCTATCAGTGCTTGGAGTGTGAAAAGAGCTTCAATCGGAAGGATAGTCTCACTTTGCATCACAGAATTCATACAGGTGAGAAACCCTATCAGTGCTTCGAATGTGGGAAGAGCTTTCGTCTGAGTGGTGATCTCACTTCCCACCAAAGAATTCATACAGGGGAGAAACCCTATCAGTGCTTGGAGTGTGGGAAAAGCTTCAGTTACAGTTCCAATCTCACTTCCCATCAAAGAATTCATACAGGGGGGAAACCCTATCAGTGCTTGGAATGTGGAAAGAGCTTCAGTCGAAAGGGTCATCTCACTTCTCATCAAAGAATTCATACAGGGGAAAAACCCTATCAGTGCTTGGAATGTGGAAAGAGCTTCTGTCAAAGGGCGACGCTCACTTCCCATCAACGAATACATACAGGGGAGAAACCCTATCAGTGTTTGGAATGTGGAAAATGCTTCAGTTATAGCACCAGTCTCACTTCTCATCAACAAATTTATACAGGGGAGAAGCCCTATCATTGCTTGGAATGTGGAAAATGCTTCAGTCATAGCACCAGTCTCACTTCCCATCAAAGAATTCATAAAGGGGAGAAACCCTATCAGTGCTTCGAATGTGGGAAGAGCTTTCGTCTGAGTGGTGATCTCACTTCCCACCAAAGAATTCATACAGGGGAGAAACCCTATCCGTGCTTGGAGTGTGGAAAGAGCTTCAGTCAAAGCACCCATCTCACTTCCCATCAAAGAATTCATACAGGGGAAAAACCCTATCAGTGCTTGGAATGTGGAAAGAGCTTCAATCGAAAGAGTCATCTCACTACTCATCAAAGAATTCATACAGGGGAGAAACCCTATCAGTGCTTGGAATGTGGAAAGAGCTTTCGTCAGAGTGGTGATCTCAATTCCCATCAAAGAATCCATACAAGAGAGAAAACGTCTTAGTGTTTGGAATGTGGGAAAAGATTCATTCATTGCCCACCAAATAATTTATACGGGGTTGAAAATTGGGTCCCCCTCTTATTTAGAGTTGAAAATGTGATTAAGAAGGCCCAAAAAACTATCAGAGACTATTTTGAGATAAATATGAACACAAATGTTGAAAAAGGAGTTATCTGGGACGCAAGCAAAGCCGTTATGAGAGGGTTCTTGATACAACAGAATGCTATAAAGAAGAGAAGTCAAAATGAGAAGAAAGACAAAATTTTGGAGAAAATAAAAGAAAGTGAGAAGAAATTGAGAGCAAAACCAAAGTTGCAAGAGATCCTGAGAGAAATAAAGTTATATCAAGTACAATATATGAAAATGATGAATCAGGAAATAGAATGAAAAATCAAAGAAATGAGACAAAATACATTTGAACCAGCTAACAAATGTGGGAAATTGTTGGCAAATGAAAAAGAAGACAAAAATTAAATACTATTACAAATTTAGAAGTGGAAGGAAGGAACATACAGAACCCAGCCAAGATTAAAAAATGTTTCCAGAGGTACTTTAAACAATTATACACACAAGGGCCACAGAAAGAAGTTGACATAGATTGATTTTTGAAGATAAATGGATTACAAAAAATTTCTCAAGAAAATAAATTAATGTTGAATTGTAAAATATCTGAACAGGAAATAGAAGGTGTCATTCAGAACATGCAATTGGGCAAATCTCCAGGACCAGATGGATTGACCTCAAGATATTACAGAACTTTAAAAGAATGGTTAGTACAACCTTTAAAGGAAGTCTGTAATGAAATACTGGAAGGGAAAAAGGCACCAGAGTCGTGGAAAGAAGCGTACATTACACTTATACCGAAAACAGAAACTGAAAAAACCCAGCTTAAGAACTACCGCCCCATATCATTACTCAATGTGGATTACAAAATTTTTGCAGATCTTTTGGCCAAGAGATTAAAAAATGTGTTGATGGAAGAGATTCATAAAGACCAAGCAGGCTTTCTTCTGGGTAGACATTTGTCTGATAATTTGAGGAATAGAATTAACATCTTGGAAAAGTTAGAAGTGAATATTAATACTAAGGCAGTTTTGATATTTGTGGACGCGGAGAAAGCATTGACAATATTTCTTGGAGTTTCATGAAGAAGAACTTACAGGGGATGGGGGTGGGAGAGGGATTTGGAAATGGTATGGGTGCAATTTACTCTGAACAAAAGGCAAAGTTTGTGCACTGACTTGGCCCTTTGGCATGTGTCGCACCTCGAGACGTAATCCGCGACTTCCCCTCGCATCTTGGGCCACCAAAAATCTCTGGCTACTAATTCTACCGTCTTCTCTTTGCCAAAGTGCCCGGCGGTGGGTGCGTCATGCAACTGCTGCAGTACTTTTGCGCGGAGGTCGTCTCCCGGTACGTAGAGGGCCCCTTTGCGGATGAGCAATCCGTCGCGTATCTGGAACTCGTCGTCCTTTGCCGTGCCCCTGTGCACCTCCTCCATCTTGGCTTGTGCGAAGGGGTCCTCCTGCAGCGCTCGACGTACAGCATCCAGGTCCACGGTCGCTGAAGCGCACGCCCACGCTTTCGGTGCGAAAATGTGCTTGGCCGCCGCTGGTGCCGCCTCCTCGAGGTATTGCAGCTTCCTGGACAGTGCATCCGCCATGATGTTGTTGTCGCCTGGGATGTACTCTATCTTGAAGTCGAAGTCCGCAAAGAACTCCGCCCATCGTATGTGCCTCTGGTTCAGGAACCTTGCCGTGTGCCAGTACTCCAGGTTCTTATGGTCTGTGCGGACCTGCACTGTGTGTTTGGCTCCGATTAGGAAGTGCCGCCACGCCTTGAATGCTGCATGAATGGCCAGCAACTCCCTGTCCCAGATAGTGTAGTTCTGCTCTGACTTGGTGCTTTGCGAGCTCACAAAAGTCAACCAAGATGACTACAGAACAGCAAATAGCAGCCCTGCAAAATGCAGTGACACAACTCAGCGAGGAGGTACTCGCATCCAGGAAAAGGGAAGAGGAAGCGGCTGCCGTCTGCAGGGATCTCCAAGCCAGGTTGGAAGTGCTTGCTAAGCAGGGACAACCGGGACCCAAATCAGAGGGGATTGGGCTGGGGAAAAGAGGAGGCAGCCTTGTATCTCATTTTGATGGGAATTTACAGCAGTACCTTAACTTCCGAGCAGACGTGCTGTTTGCGCTGAAACTGCTGGAAAAAGACTTTAGAGATGAGCAAGAGAAGGTGGGGTTTATCTTGTCCCATTTGCATGGAGAAGCTAAAGCGTGGCTGCGCAATCTGTGGAGAGATAAGGATCCGGCGCTCCAAAATGCGGACGCATATGATAGCCATGTTCAAATATATAAAAGGATGTCACATAGAGGAGGGAGAAAGGTTGTTTTCTGCTGCTCCAGAGAAGCGGACACGGAGCAATGGATCCAAGCTACAAGAAAGAAGATTCCACCTAAACATTAGGAAGAACTTCCTGACAGTAAGAGCTGTTTGACAGTGGAATTTGCTGCCAAGGAGTGTGGTGGAGTCTCCTTCTTTGGAGGTCTTTAAGCAGAGGCTTGACAACCATATGTCAGGAGTGCTCTGATGGTGTTTCCTGCTTGGCAGGGGGTTGGACTCGATGGCCCTTGTGGTCTCTTCCAACTCTATGATTCTATGATTCTATGAAAACCCCAAGATGGTTGTCACCAATGGAAGCAAAGGCTCAGAAAAAACTCAATATGGAGGTCAAATGGCCGAAGTATTGTGAAATTTTGGAACAAGAGGGAGACAGAATAAAATTGCAGGGTTTTGAAAAACTAAAAAATAAAGTGCGAGACTGGCTCCATTATTATCAAATAATGGAGGTATATAATGTGAATAAAAAAATAGGCTTCCAAGTGGAAAAATCAAAATTGGAAACAGAATTGTTAGATTCTAAAGTTAAGAATTTGTCAAGAATGTATAACTTGCTGTTGAAATGGAATACTATAGATGAAACGGTGAAATCGGCTATGATTAAATGGGCACAAGATGTTGGACATAACATTATGATGGCTGACTGGGAACAGTTATGGACCACAGGTATGAAATTTACGGCATGTAATGCCTTAAGAGAGAATATTATGAAAATGATCTATAGGTGGTACATAACACCAGTCAAGCTTGCAAAAATCTATCATTTGCCTGATAATAAATGCTGGAAATGTAAAGAGACTGAAGGTACCTTCTTTCACCTTTGGTGGACATGCCCGAAGATTAAGGCTTTCTGGGAAATGATTTATAATGAAATGAAAAAGGTATTTAAATATACCTTCCTGAAGAAACCAGAGGCCTTTCTCCTGGGCATGGTCGGCCAATTGGTGCCAAGGAAGGATAGAACTTTTTTTATGTATGCTACGACAGCAGCAAGAATACTCATTGCAAAGTACTGGAAGACGCAAGATCTACCTACCTGGGAAGAATGGCAGTTGAAGCTGATGGACTACATGGAGTTGGCGGAAATGACTGGCAGAATCCGAGACCAGGGAGAAGAGTTGGTGGAAGAAGATTGGAAAAAATATAAAGTATATTTACAGAAATATTGTAAAATTAATGAATGTTAGAAGGATGCTGGAAAGAAGTTATATGGCATTAGTAGAAATATTATTAAGAATTAGGTAAGAATAGATTGATTATGGGTAAAGGTGTAAAATTTAAGGCTAAATTGCGTTAAGATAAATTATAGAACTAAATTTGAGAAAGAGGGAAAGGACTTGCTGAAACAACTAATTGAACTAGAATACAAAAAGGGAGGTGAGAGGAAGTCAAGGAAATAAGCAAATGAAAGATAAGGACATGAAAATACCGGTTCTTCTTTCTTTTTTCTTCTTTAAAAGTTTTTGCTTTTTAAATGTCTTTGTTTTCCCCCCCCCCCATAATGTTTTGTTGTTTCTTCTTTATTGTATTTTTTCCTTATCTATTTTTGAAGCTTTGTATGTTTTCCTTTTTTCTGGATTTGTTAAACCCTAATAAATATTTTTTTTTTAAAAAAAAAAGCTGAGCAAGCCCCAATTCCTCTCCGGCTCCATCCCTCCATGTCCCCATCTCCCCTCCCCTGGGACTCACCAGATCTCCCGGAGGTCCCTGGAAGGGAAAGCTCAGAGGTTGTGGGGAGGGATGCAAGAGACAGCCGGACCAGGTCAACCCTCCATCTTCCCCCTTCCATCCTCGCTAGCTTTGCTGTCTCTTTCATCCTTCCTGAAGAGTCAAGGAGCCAAAAGAAGCTGCAGGGTCCTGGGAGAGAGGAAGAAGCAAAGGCAGCCTCAGAGGCCCTGCAGGGATTCTCCTGCCCTAGATACTCTCCTGCCCCTGGAGAAGCACAAATGGGGCAGCCCCTTCCCAACAGAAGCCCCATTTCTAAACCTCTCCAGTGGTTTCAATTTCCCCTGTTTGCTAATCACCCCACTTCGTAAGGCTGGCAGGGTCTGTCCAGTAGTGACCTCAAGGTAGAACCCCTTGAACTCAGTGGGGCTTATGGACAGAACTTGGTGCCAAACCCAGTCACCTTCCTGTCCCTGAGCCTGAAAACTGCAACCCCAGAGCATGGGCAGGAAATAGACTAGTAGCTAATACATGTAAGTGGCCCCATGCTTGGTGCTTTCTATGGAGAGTCCTGTTGACGTTCTTTGAGCTCTCTCATTGCAAGCCAGGCAGGTGTTTTGGCCATATTTGCCTCTTGCATGGGGACCAAATCTTTTGGGAAGCTCTTCATCTCCAATTGGTAGGAAAGAGGGTTCATTAACCTGCTGGTGGGGGGAGGTGGCTTTTCAGCCCATAAATTCAACTCATGCTGGAATATCTGGTGGGCTGGATCTGGAGCACAAAGGGTCAAGTTCTACTTGCATGAGCCCTTGTGTTCCTTCTTCAAACTTATTAGGCAGGAACGTCAGAGGTCAAATCTGGAGAATATTTCATTCTGGGCGTCTTGTTGCAGAGCACAGAAGGCATGTAATCAATTCTTTTCAGTTCTTGAGACTAATACACTGTTGGAAAACATGCCCCCCTCGGGAGAGGCTGGCCTCTCCCCCAGATCCCGGGGCTTGTTTACCTACTCTGGCTGACATCCCCGCAGTCCAGGAAGATCTTGACAGGCGACATCTCCCAGCCGGTAAGATGCACACCCCGTTCTTCCTTGCATACCAGCAGGAGAAAGAAGATAATCA